TAATTTATTCATCAGGTCTAGGTAAGTTTCCTGAATGGGATCAGTAGCCCTCGGTGCCACTTTCTCTCTGGCATAAATAACCCTGGAATAGCTAATTTAGGCTTAATTAATGGAACCACCCATTTTTAAACACCTGAGTAAGAGTTTCCATTAGAGGGAATGATTTAGCCTGAAGATTAAGACACAAAAATGTGAGTCTACACTATTGGCATCAACAAATGACCTGGGTGCCTCAGCTTCCACAGGAGATGTAATCAGCACAGTCAGAGCCCAAAGAGCTGTTTCACTGTCCTGCAAGAGACACCTCAATCAACAGTTCACCTTTGGTCACAATATTCATCATTTCTATTGGCTGGCTACATAAATGTAGTAGTCTCATCTTATTTTAGGCACTGTGCTGTACTCTCCTGTTTTCCAGCTGCTGCTCCAGAGGGCAAGTCTTCAATACAAGTCACATGGAATATTTACCAAGATCTGCATCACTGTCTCCTTCACATAGAAGTTTAGGATGCTAAACTAAGACTGAAGCTTCTCTTTTATAAAATAAGATCATACACTCTTCCAGACCAGACCTTGTTAAACCTTTCTGCTCAATTCTGTGTCCTCCTGACCCCCAACTTTTCATGTTCCCACAGGCACTGCCCAGGCCAGCAAGTGGTAGCAACATGACAGTGGGACTAACCTCAAGCGTGTTTACTTCATTCCCTCTGACACATTCTCATCTCCTTGCCTTCAAAAGTCTTTCCCTGTTGAATTATCACCTTGGTGTTGCTCATGCTGCTTCTTGCCTGCATTTTCTGTGCTCCTAACAGCTTCCTTCATCCAAAGATAACTCCTCTGAAGCCAAATATGCTTATAGAAATCTTCTTTACTGCCTCGTCTTCTGCAGTCTTTAGTACTAGTGCTTTGCATAGATAACACAATGCTGTTGGCCTTTATACCACATATAACCTTCTCATCCATCTACCACTCTGACCCACACTGGTGGCCAAGGACACAAGGTCATCCTGGATAGAACTAGTTGTTTGGGGTTTTTCCCTCCTCTCAGGACTGCATAAGATTTGCCTTGCCCCACTTTCATCTCTCCTGTGTTTCACCTTTTTACATCTTTTCTTTTTGTTCCCCATCCAAGCATTCTGTCATCTTGACATTTATTACCAAGCACAAATCAATAACTTCAAACCTTGACATTTGTTCCTGCACATGAATCAACAGCTTCAAATCTTGACATTTATTGCCAAGCACAACTCAGCAGCTGCAATTTCTTGAAGCTACTTGGAATTACTTTCATTAAGATCTTTTCCCCCTCACACACTTCAAGTGTCATCTCCAAAACAGAAGACCACCAGCTGTGGGTCAGTGTTGCATCTTTCAACCCATTCAAGAGCTTGGAGACCTTGTCTGGTGAGCATGAATAGGAATACAAACCTAGACATCCACCAAGTCCCAGTGTGTGCCCAGGGGCAGTTGTCATGGCTCAGCTTATCTGTGATCATTTGCTGAGCTGGACCATCACACCACAGGAATTCCACTGCAGACTTCAGCCCTGGCATTCAACACTCACTTTATGAGTATGGAAAAAAGCCACAATGATTGAAACAAGTATCTACATGACAGGTCATGACCCTGCAGAAGTTTCACTTCATGGTTTTTTTCCCTTTGCACTTCTGTATTAAACATGCAGTATATTTTGCTGCTTTGTGTACTGGTTCACATCAAGAGCTTCTGTGAAACCAAGTGGCAAAGATCTGTAGTTTTGTTGCTGCTTCTCTCCAACACAACTTAGGCCTTGTTTAAAGTTATGGACTCCTTCATCCATGACTGGTCTTGTGGAAAGTGGCCCTGGTCTTTGCAGAGGGGTTGGACTAAATGACCTTTGAAGGCCCCTTCCAACCCAAATTATTTTATGATTCCTCCAGAACTGTCCATAGACAGGCAGTAAGTGCTCCAGTCACTGGCCTTCCTGCTACTGATGCTAAGCATCTGTTTCTACAGTGATCCAAAATCTCTGGCTTCCCTCCTTTTGAGGCACACAATTGCTGTAGCACCTGATATGTCAGCACATCTCTTACCTTTCAGTCTATTTATATCTTCCCCATCTTTTACTAGTCCAAGAGATTGTCCATCATGTCTTCATGACTTGGACTGGAGAGCACTTCAACATGAAAATAATGCCTCCTAAATGTTCTGTCTCTGTACAGCAGTTAGAGGAGGATCCTGCAATCCATTCCAGAGCTATTGATCCATGGCTCCTCCCCAGGGCTGCTGTCAACCACAGCTTCTTCAATTTATTTATTACTGGTAAGGAGTCAAGAGAAATCCTACAGTTGAAAATGGACACCTTCCACTGTCAATGTCACATATTTGTACCTCTCAGAGCAACCTGGTCTAGTGGGAGGTGTCCCTGCCCATAGCAGGGGGATTGAAACTGGGGGATCTTCAAGGTTCCCTCCAACCCAAACCATTCTAGGATTTGATGTTGGTGCCTTTTGATTGTCCTAGATGCAACTACAAGACCACACCAATCTGATCAGACTTTCTCTCTTAGTTCACCTATAGCAAGGCTGAGTTTTGAGCATTAAATGTTCCATGGCCAGAACCTGCACTATGGGAGAAGGTGGCTCTCACAAATTGCCATGAGGTGTTAACAGGTGGTGTTGAGCAGCCAAGACAACTTGGGAGAGACAGGCCCAGACAACAATTTTATTCACTACAGATGGATTCTGAACAGGATGCCCCTGGGAGACAAAGCACTCCAGACATGGTGGGAAGCATCTCTCATTAGGAAGAGACTAAAATATGGTTTGTATTGCACAAATAGGCAAGTAATTGGAGAGCAGCTCCAGCTCCAATTCACTCAGTGGTATCCATTACAGCTGTTCTAACAGCACTTTAATGGGCTGAGAAGAGAAGGGCACTGCAGGGAATCAGATGTGCTTTTTTTTTAGCAATGAAGTCTTTTCAGCTTCTATCAAAAGGGTGTTGCTAATTCAGATCAGGTCCCACACTCAAATATAAGGCAATGAACGTGTTTAGCTAACAAGCCTCTGACAGGTCACTAGCAGGTTTTAACTCTGTTTTGCTGCATGACAACACATAATATGAAGTTCATGAGCAGTGAGGGGTTGCTAACCTCTGAGCCATAAGCCAAAAGAATAAAAGCTGCTTGATGGTATAGAATCCCAGAATGGTTTGTATTGGAAGGGACCTTAAAGACCATCCAGTTCCACACCCTGGCATGACATGTCCCACCAGCCCAGGCTGCTCCAAGCCCCATCCAACCTGCCCTTGAACACTCCCAGGAATGGGGCAGCCGTAGCTTCTCTGGAAAACCTGGGCCAGGGTCTCACCACCCTGACAAGAAAGAATTTCTTCATAATATGCAATCTAAATCTGCCCTTTTCCAGCTTGATACTGTTCTCCCTCATGCCATCCCTCCCTGCCCTTGTCAAAAGCCTCTGCCCAGCTTTCCTGGAGCCCCTTCAGGCACTAGAAGGTCAGTATAAGTTCTCCCCAGAGCCTCCTCTTCTCCAGGCTGAACACCCCCAGCTCTCAGCCTGTCTCCAGAGCAGAGCTGCTCCAGCCCTCAGCTTATCTCTGTGATCTTCCTCTGGACTTGCTCCAACAGCTCCATGTCCTTATGTTGGGCACCCCAGAGCTGAACACAGTATTCCAGGTGGGGGTCTCACACGAATGCAGCAGATGGAGAGAAGCCCCTCCCTTGCCCTGCTGCTCATGCTGTTGGTGATGCAGCCCAGGACATGGTTGGTTTCTGGTCTGCAAGTGCCCATTGCCAACTCAAGGTGAGCTTCTCATTATCCAACACCCTCAAGTCCTTTTCTGCAGGACTGCTCTCAATCCCTTCTCCACCCAGCCTGTATTTGTGACCCTACCATATCATCATTTCACTGGGACCACAGGAGCTGGCCCAGACAACCTGTCTCACTAGCAGCATTTATCCCCTTAACACACTTGTGAAACACGTTCAGCCTCCCTTCAGAGATGGGCACCTGAGACACACAGGAACTAAGGACTGAGTCTGCAATGAGACTTGGGTTCCTCATTCATCCAACATGTAGCTGCTATGGAGGCCATCAGGTCCTTGTCCCTTTTCCATCTAAATGGTCATTCCAGAGAAGTGTCAGGTATCTGTGAGGTTATTTGACCCAGACTGTCCCATAGATGCTGACAAGCTCCTCACTCACCAGTGGAGCTGAGGCTGTGATTCAGTACTAGCCAAATCACCACTGAAATGCACTAGGAAAGTTCACAACACCATTCTCACAAGATAAGGCTCTCATTATTATTTCATTTTTTCACCCATTTTCTCATTCCCTTCTTGCACTTTTAGAGCCTTTGCAGGAGCTGGAAATGCAAGTGCTGTTCTCTTTGCACAAGACACACTCCCCTCTTCAGCCAAATCCCTTCTCTTTTGAAGATAATGCACTAAACAAGATATTATCACAACTTTTCTGACCTTTGATACAGTTCAAATCACAGAATTTAATTCAAAGACCTCCTGGTCAGCCCAAATAACTCAACTGGTCAAGACATGCTTTCCTGAACGACAAAGAATCAGGATTAACATAACATCTACAAGACAATCTAAGAGCAGTAAAACTTGTCATTAGTGACTCAAACTACAGAAGCAAAACTTCTTGAAAAAGGTACCATTTATGAATGAAGAAAAGAGAACTCAGTTCTTTCTGTTTGTTTGTTCTGCTTTAACTCTTTACCACTTAACTTCAAGAGTTGATTAATGAAGAGCACCACTGAAAAACTGACTTCCTCAAAACAAATATAAATTAAACATTCATTAACAGTTGGGAAAAGCCCCATGAATAGTAAAGATAAAAAGATTTTTAAGGAACAGTATCATGTCCCTCCTTAAACCATTTTCCAGATCATGATACACATATATGAATAATAATAGAAACATTTTTGCTTGGTAAAGACTTTTAAGATCATCGAGTCCAATCATTAACCCAGCCAAGGCCACCATGTCTCTCAGCACCACATCTACCTGTGTCTTAAGTCCTTCCAGAGATGGTGGCTCCACCACTGCCCTGGGCACCACGGGCCAGGGCATGGTACCCCTTTCAGTGATGAAATTGTTTCCAATATCCAATCTAAAACCTCCCTTGGTGCAACTTGAGGCCATTTCCTCTTATTCTATTTTTATACACACACACACGTACATGAAAGTACAAAAGGAACCTGCAAGCTCCAACCTGAAAAGCAATGAAGCAGCCCCACCCTGCCAGCAGGCAGTCTCATGGTTTATTCATGTGAAGGAAAAAATGACAGAAGCCAGGACCTTCCCCCAGACTTACAGGGCAACTGGATTGTCTCAACATATTTAATATGTTCTCAAGAAACACAGGAGATCTCAGGAAACTCAGGATACTGAAATTCTTCATTGCATTATTAATTTATTACCCACACACATAAGCAGTAGGAACCCTGGTATAAGCTTTAATCCCCACTCCTTGATGCTGTCTGTGTTGTTTAACCTCCCTACAGTAGATTCTGCTTCCTGCTCTGGATCTCTCACACTGCTGGAGCGGGGGGAACCTGAGCACTGTCTGCAGAACTGGAGCCCAGAGTAGCCTATTCTGAACTATTTTTCCTTGTATTTCATGAACTCTGACACCTGAGCTTTGGGATGCTAACTTTCCAGGGTTGAAGTGATTGAATCCCCAGTTCTTAAGTGCAACACAGTCACCTTCAGTTCAGCTTCGCTGTTTTGAGCACTGGAGAAAAGGCTGTGTGGGAATTACTGCCTGCACATCGTGCTGCCCTTTAAGGGTCCTTCAACTCCCCCTTCCCCAGTGCTAATGAGATTTAAACCAAGTTTTCTATCTGAACTGATAAATTAACCCCAGTATCTGTCCCTGTGTTGACTCCTCATGGCACTTCCCTTCAAAATATCTCAAAGCAAAAGTAGAGAAGCGGGAATGTTCTTCTGTTACCAGTGGGGAAATTGAGGCACTGGGTGCTCATACAACATGAGGCAGACAGTGGAAGGTGTAGATAGAAGACTTCCTGATTTTGTCTCATACCTAAGAGTGATACAGCCACTTTGCTATGAAGTCTAGTGCCATCTGAGGCCTCCCACAATATCTGACATGAGCTGGCATGGCAGGGTGCAAGGCCTGTGCCCTGCTGGGTGTGCAGGTGGAGGACACTTCACAGCACCTCTGACAAGACTAGATGTCTGTATTTAAGAGCTGAATTCTTCACTCACTCACATCTTTAAAGTCAAGGAGCTATGATACAACACCCCAGGACTGCAGGGGACTCAAGTTTAGGAAGTTTTACTCCCCTCCAAAGGAACACTCCCTGTCTAGAAAGGTGGGTTAAGGCAACACCAGAGTGCAGAGGTTCAGAGCTTTTACACAAGCATTCATGTGCCTGGAAGAGCCCCACAGCAGGACAACTGGACACAAGATTCACCTCTTTTCCCATAGCAGACCCAGAGCCAGCCCTGCCTGCAGGGCAGGTGAGCCAGGCTTGGCCAGGGCCATCACTGGCCAATGGACAAATCCCTTGCTCATACAACAGCCACAGTGGGGCCAAGGGATGAGTTACCTGGGCCCTTCCTGCACTGCTCCTTCAAGCACTGGGGTAGCTGGAGGCTGTAACAGTTACTATGCAATTAAAGAAGGTGGGAACCAAGTGTGCACCATGTCCTAGACCTCCTCTCAGGCACTATGAGGTCTGAACAGAGAAAAAGGGACCAGGGTGGGGTCAGGAAGGGAACATGCACCAGGAATGGAGCAGTGACAACCCCTTTCTAAACCAAAACCCCAGTCTGAGCCAGTAAAGCAGCTGCCCCAGCTTGCTGGCAGGGCTCACAGTACAGCATGATGAACAAACAGAATGAAACTACAAAACCCAAAGGTCATCATAGACCAGTATCTCACACACAATAACTTCTGTTTGATCTAACAGTTCTTCTGCAGTGTTTCTCCAGGCTTAGGAGAAAGGCAGAAAATTAGTTTCCAGGCACCCCAGAGCATCCTGGAGTTTGGGCTGCTGGGGCCAACTGTGAGATAGCACAAGGGCTGATCTCCCTCCAGTGGGAGCTGCTTTAAGCCAAAGCTGTAGTGATTGTCCCCTTCCTGAACTACAGCTTTGCCTCTGCCTGGCCATGGGCTCTGCTGAGCCTTGAACCTGCCCCCTCACTATGGACACTTCTGATGGGCTTTCTAATCACCCTGGGTGCCTCCCTGCACCTCCTTCCCTTCTCACCTAGTCCTAGCAGAGCAGATACCTCTTCCATGCAACTTGTGGAGAAGCTTTCAAAAAAAGAGAAATAGCCTTGTTGTACTTTGCAGATTAATGTTAAAAATCTTAAAGACAGGCATACAAAATGTAAGAAATGTACTCCTGACCCCAGGAGATGGACTCTTTAGAAAAAGTGCAGGCTTTAAAAAAATAACAGCAGAAAGATTTGCTTTGTGGTCATGAGAACTTGCAATACTTCAGACAGATTTCAAAACAGCAGAAGCTTTAGCTATAACTCTTTGGTGACATCAGTATCCCTTGAGGGTTTCCAAATTGTTTGGGGGGCCAGTAAAATGGAGTCCACCATCTCCTGTGCTATTAGCATCCTCCTGACTGGTTTAGGGACCCTTGCAAATTTTAAACCCATGTTTCTCTTTTTTTCTCTCTCTCTCTCCTCCTTTCCCAGGCCACCACAGAACCCCCAAAACAGAAACCAGACCCTGTGACTTCGGAGACAGTGGTGATCTGGGGGCTGCGCCTCTGGCAGGTGGTTGGTATCTTTGCCATCTTTGTCCTGGCAGTCAGTAAGTCCTAATTCTCTGCCTTGCACCAACCACAACACCACCCCAAGTAGGACCTGCTCCTAGAGGACTGCAGACCAAATGGCCACAGAGGTCATGGGCTCTTTGGTCTCTGGCATCACAGGGGGTTTGGTGCAGGGAAAGGCAGGTGTGGTCTTTGAAGGAACCACAGATGGGTTGCTATGGTTTCTTCTGGTAAGGTGCTGATTAACAGGTCCTAGCTGGTGGCATCTCAGAGAAGAGATGATAGGGCTGTGCCACAGCTGGCACTGTTTCCAGCTGCAGTATCACATTCAGGCCAAATGCATGTTCTAGCCATGATCCTGCCCTGTCACACAATCATACAAACCATGTATGACCTCTTGGGCTTCTGTCCCACAAGAAAGGAGCCTCAAGGGGGCTGCAGTCACAGGCAGATCTGGTGTTCAGTTCCCTAGCTACTATTCAGGGTGCCAAGACTCCCACGTCATCTTCACAGGGCTTCCAGGAAGTAAAAACCTCTTTTTTTTTGACCCAAGCACTAGGAAACCACTGACTCAGACCTGGTGACTGCAGTGGGATGGGATCAGAGGTTCTCCCAGCACATTTTGAGGACCTATCTGGGCACAGTCAATTCCTCACCTAAATATCTGAATCTAGATTGTTGCCTCATAGCTCACTCTCTGGGAAGAGTGTAAAATCCACCTTCACTGAGCATTGCAAACTGCTCTCATGAGCTTCCTTAAGACAATATCACAACACTCTCATAACCCCATTGAAAATCCAAGGGAGGATCTTCTGCTCTCTCCTTGAGCCAACTATAACTTCATACAAAAAGACATATCAGTTTGATACGAGTAAAACATGATAAATTCATTTCTTCTTCCATCTTCTTGTTACTGTTCAGGCTTTTACAAAGTGTACAACTAATTAATTTCTTCCAGCAAACAAAATGACATTGTGTCACCTACATTTCCCTTGAACTTCCTCTTTTTCCTGTTAGGGACAGGTGAGCAGAGGGACAGAGTGTCCCCAGTCCCTGAAGGTAAATCCCAATCCAATCACCTCAAATCCTTACTCTCTGCAGGAAGAACACCACTTGGGCACATCTAAATCTTCTAGGATTTTTTTTACCATTTTCTTCTCGTTTTAGCTTGTGGCCCTAATTGTTTGTTCAAACTAATTTTATAAGTGTGCTAATTAATACTGAATTAATTATGGATTAATTTAATAACACAGACCTCACAGCAGCATTCCAGTACCTAAAGGGGGGCTACAGGAAAGCTGGGGAGGGAATTTGGACAAGGGCTTGCAGTGAGAGGACAGAGGGCAATGGATCAAAACTGGAAGAGGGGAGATTTAATTTAGACATCAGGAAGCAAGTATTTAGCGTGAGGGTGGTGAGACCCTGGCCCAGGTCACCCAGGAAAGTTGTGGAAGCCCCATCCTTGAGTGCATTCAAGGCCAGGCTGGATGGAGCTCTGAGCAAGCTGGTCTAGTGGGAGTTGTCTCTGCCCACACAGAGGGGTTGGAACAGGATGATCTTTAAGGTCCCTTCCAACTCAAACCATTCTATGATTCTATGAAGTGAAACAATGAAGCATTTTAAAGAAACTAAAGGAAGGCCTTGAGTGCCTTCACTTCCCCCAGTACTTCTGCTCTCATTCCTCATTAGTAATGAGCACCCTCCAAACTGGAGTTCCTGGTGAGGAACAGCAACAAGTGATACCAACCCTGACCTACAAGTTGTTTAGGAGAACATGGGCTTGCTGGGTCACCCCTGAAGACACAGTATTGCAGAACAACTGATTTCTAGTGGTTTCTGGTACTTTTTAATTTGCTGTTAAATCTACATCCAGATGAAAGCCTAATCTAATCATGAGCACAGCAGTCTGTGTGTTGTCTTTGATAATAATGGGCCAACCAAGTCATGTGTTGTTGCCACAGCCTCCTTGTTGGCTGTTGTGATTCCCTGTAACAGGAAGGCTTTTATGGAAGGACTGAGAAGTGCCCATGTTCTGTTTCTACCAGACATTTCCATTTTCAAAACAAGTACCAGCATTTTCCTCTGCTGTCTTTTCCCCTCATTACCCCTTCTGGGCACACACCACACCCTGCACCCAAAAAATCTGAAGGATAACAATTCCTACAGCTTGTCTGATCTCAATCAATGAAGCTTGTGTTAATTCCTCACGTGCCACAACACCCTTTGCAAACAATCACTAGAAACTCCACTGAGCAAAGTAAACACAGCCAGGGATTTAACCCTGGTGAGCCCAAACATCATGGGAAATAGGAATTAATTTTAACAGCAGGAAATTTAGAATGCAAGTGGGCTAATGAAGTTTATGAAGCTATTTTTTTTTTGCTTGGTTTGGGGAAATAAAATGGTAAAGATGTAGGTTTGATTGTTTTATTGTTCATTAAGAATTGTCACTGGCATTACCAGGTTATTTAGAGTTAGAAGCATGGAAAGTCTCCCATGCTGGGAAATAACCCAGCAGAGGGTGCAGAGCTTGAACAAAAGAAATTAAGGGGTTTTTTGTTACCTAAAAATACTAGAAGCAAGAAGCAAACACCCATGAAAGTTTGCTCATCCAGTGACAGCCCAGAAAGAAAATGTATTGCAGAAAACAACAGACAAAGAAAGTTATTGCCTCAGTATTGAAAGTGCTGAAAGTAGTGAATTATGACAAGCTAAAATACTCTTAAGGATCTGTGTTTAGACAAGCAAACCAGTAACTCACATGCAATGAAGTAACATCTGCTTTAAGGTTTGAGTTCCCACTAGCACACACGGGTAGTTCAACAAAGATCAAAATTCTACATCAGATTTTGCTGCAAATTACTGGAGGGATAGGAAAATATTTGCTAGGAGAGCACAGGGTTTTGGATTGCTGAGTCTCAGAGTGACAGAGATTCAGTGCATCAGGAGATGGAAGGGAGTCCATGAAGGGCTCTGCTGCTCTGCTACAGCACTTCCTTTTGAAGCCTCTTTTCAGTGAGCAGCAAGAATTTCACATTAACTGCCAGTTCAGTCCGTTTTTCATGGATACAAACATTTGGTGAAGACAGCAACTATTAAGCAAGTGTGTGATCCAAAACAAAACAAGACAAGCTCAAACTGCACAACTGAATTGTGCAGTCAAATCTCACCCATTTCTCGCCTCTTGCTCCAGCAACATCTTCCTCCTCCTTTGCTTTGCGATCCCCAAAGCACTGGTTGTTCCCCAGCTTTGCCAGCCAATTTTCAACTCTCAGGAGCACACACAGGTTTTCTGTGTGTAAGCTCTTGGAGGCTTCCTGGGTATCAGTCCAGAAAACCAGACAATGTTCTACTTTTCTAATGGGACAAGAGCTGGTGAAGAGCTTTGGAGTGGCTTCCTTCTCCTGGTTCCAGGAGCACCTTCCCAGACACCAACCCTCTGCACTAGGAAAGAGAGGAGCATCCCTTCCAGGGCTTCTCAGGGCCTGCATAAGATCCCATTGGTTTATCATCTCACCTGGTTATCAAAGGGTGTGTCTGCTTTGACATGTGAATTCAGAAGAGGAGTAAATGAGGAATTGAGACACTTTTAAAGTCAATGCCCCTAGTCACTGTGGGTGATTGTAGAGCACTTGAACTGGATTCCTGTTGGTTGAAGTGGAAATAGAAGATAGTCACTCCAGGAAATTGTGCTCCCAGACATGGGTGATAATTGCTAAGGGCAGTCACAGGGTCAGACCTGAGCTGCTCCAGAATAACCCTCCTGAGATGCAGCAAGTGTGGATGACAGACTCTACACACCCTTCCATCTCATAAACCTGCTCCTGCTGAGTAACAAAACCTGCAGAAACAAATAGGCCCCAGGTGTGGTTTCCATCGCTTGTTCTTAGCAACTTCCACAAGGTGGCATCAACACATCATAAAAGGCAGGAAAAACAGCCACAGGCAAACCCCTTCACTTAATGTAAAAAATATATGAGAAAATCTTACAGGAAGTCATCTTATATGTGAGCACACACCGCTGCAATGGGCAAAAAAATGTATCTCTGGAGAGATCTTCTAATGCATAGAAAGCTTTTCGGGTAGGTTACAAACCAAATGGGATTAACTCCTAGATGCACCCAGCAGAGACCAGGAGGGAGGAAATGTTTGCACACCTGTCAGCAGAAGGCTCTCCAACAGCAGCAGATGGGTGGCTTTCTTAGATGCCAGCTGAGAGATCTCGCTGTTGGATCCATCCATTTCCATCTTTTCCCTTTGTTTCTGATCCATGGCAAGACACATCACAAGAGGGAAAAAACAACTTTGGGAGTAAAGTAGCCCATAGTAGAAAATACAACTTGGTGGCACAGACAGAGCATCATTCAGGTGGTGCTGGAGGTGTAGCTCTGATGGATGCATTCAATCAATTCTTGTTCATCTACTAAAATATAAGGAATGCCAAGTCTTGTTGCTATGTCAGAGAAGGTTCATGACAGCTCATTTTTAAAGCAAACACAACTTTTACAGGAAAAAGTCTGTAAAGAATGGGAGGAAACCTAAAGTTTCTCAGGTACCACCCAAAGCAGGTCAACTCTTTTTCTCCTTTGCCTGAGTATTTTAGCTCAGTCATTTTGCCTATATTTAAAGACAATCTTTCTTTTGGGGGATTTGAATCAGGCAAAGTAAGGCAGGCAATTAGGCTGGCAAGTGTCCTGACAGTGTACCTTGAAATCCTCATCAGGGCTGCCTCCCAGCACCCAGCATCATCCAGCAGGAGAAGAGACTGAGAGACTCTGATGAGAAAACAACAAACAACTGATATGAGATTAGCTATCAGGAGGACTTGATTCCCTCAGGAGCACTGTTATCTGGTTTCTTGGTCTGCCTAGGTTTTTTTTCATTATTATTATTCTTTTTCTCTTTTACTTTTTTTCTTTTTGGCCTGTGAAAGCTGTGAATGAGGAATTGAGGCCCAACACTATGGGGGCAATAGGATGGGATTGAGTCATAACATTGGAATCTTGCACAGCCTGTTTTATCCACAAGGACTGAGGAC